TACACACACGCAAGCACGCATACACTACACATATGGAGGCACGTCTTTAAATGGCCTTAGCTGTTAATAGGACGTTAAGTAAAATTAAACCAAACCAAACCGAAATCATTCGGTAATGTTGGTCAACCAGTTGTACCAAATCGCACATGTGTGCGGGGAGAAGCGCACCACGGTGCGAACGATCATGCACTATATGCACCCACTATGTTTGGTGCGTTGTGCGGTCACACACCTGTACAACATACGGGTAACTACTTACTACTAAAGCAGTTGACGTGGCGGCTGCTGTGGGCCATCTTAAGATGGTAATAACGTCACAGCGAAGGTGCATTAGGACGCTTCATTTATTTAAGCGTTTACATTTTTATAAGAAACTCAATGTACAATTAACCCTATACTCGCGAGATATCCAATAAAATCAATATAAAAGACACATGGTTTTCACTTATTTTATTTTATTTGTTCTTAACATAATAAAGAAGATTAAAATAAACTTATACTATTACCTAAACAAAACATGTTTTTTGTTTTAATTAGAAGAAAAAATATTTACTTTTCGATAGAGTACTAGTTATACGAAGGTCCCTGCCGTTGCCATGGGAATTTGGAGGAAGAATCGCAAACAAACTTCAAAAATACATCTTCATCTGACTCAGTTGGATCAAGGAATTGAGTGTAGCCGACGTCATTGAAGCTCCACTGTACAGCTACAATATCTGCTATTGACCGTCCGTACATCCTTGGGTAGGCATTGTTGACTCTGACACAGCCGGTACAGGGTGCGTAAGCAGGTGGATGGGATCCCTTCAGACGACATGTGGGTAGACAAAGTCTGCCGCACGAATCGTAAGCCAGTAAACACACTTCTGTATCATTGATAGTTGGATCCTTTATCGGGATGAATGCCTTTTGTGAACTTAATGGATAGCGTTCGTCCATAATGGCATATTCCATAGAGTTCCCACTGTAGTTGATGCCATCAGCCCTTATAAAAATCTTCGCAGCACCTTCGCCACTGATTCGACAGGACTCGTAAGATCGAGCTTCCCCGGTATACAAATGTCGTGCTAGATCAGGGTTAAACGCTGGATCATATATGTCGATAGTTGAGTTGATGGCGGGGGCGTGTTTTCCCGTGTAGCAGGCATACGCATGGAACTGTAGTCCTCGAGGTCTTTCATAAATTACCTTGATAGGAATGTAAACCCAAAGAGAGGCGTCTGTGACGTCATTAAGAATAAACGTGTTCTGCATGGACGATGGTCCTGATGGACAGGTTTGTCTATCACAAACAAGGACTTTAGGTTCCAAGGCTTTTCTGGAATGAGCAGAGCCACAGTCGTGGGCGTGTTGACTATCGACAGCACGCTTTTTCCTCCTATTCCACCAGTTCCACCATGGTGGAAGAGTTGTAATAGGTGGTAGAGTTGTAACTGGTGTTTGCCGTACAGACACACACTGTCGCCGCCGCTCCCATCCCTCGCTAACATCCATGCATCTTAACCCTTCAATGCCGTCACATCTAGACGCACAGTCAAAGGACTGTTCGTATCGCACGTGTCTTCCATACCATTGGTTCGAATATCCCTCTTCATTGGTCCAATCTCCAAATCCGTCCATTGGTAAATCTTTATAATGGTTGGAGTCCCTTGTAAACGGGTATATTTGTGGATCTAAACCACGAGCGTGCATTGCTAGCCTAACTTCCTGCCAAACATAATCAATATAACAATGTAACAAAAAAAACATGGGATCTCTAGGAGCGTTGCTTATATCCAGAAGACCACCGCCGACAAAATTATGTATCCTATTATGGTCCGATTCTATAGACAAGCTATCATATGGGTTTGCTATCCTATCATTTGTCCCTTCTCTTTTTAATCTCTCAATTCGGTCTCGACCAAACAGCATCCAACCATATGAGACATCTCGGACAAGTCCCCAGTCTTTGAATGCTCCGTTTCTTACAAATTCCCCGTTGCCTGCAAATTTATCTGAGAAGATAATTGAGTGCTTAGCAGAGTCCGGTTCTATGAAGTCTGCGTAGTATTCCGCAGTGCAGTCCCAATATGGTAGGGTAACCTGACTACAGTCACCGCCAAGATCTCTCAATGCGTTTTCTAGCCTGAAAAAAAAAGGAAAAAATATTTATAACGAATAAAGTTACTTTGTGACCTTGCTAGTAACAACTATCTCTCGAGTAGTGGCCTACTTTACACACTTTCCTCGTTATTTAACTTGAAATTAACCAGTTCTGCTCTGTTTTTTGAAACCCGTATCATACAGGTGTTTTACGCATCTCTTCTTCTGTTTAAAGAGTAGTTTCCACCTTGGATTTCAACATTTTTGGCCTTTAGCATCATTTGTGAGCCACTGAAGGACAACTATGATACAGTTTTATTCATGTTTGGTATAACCGATTTCCTACGTGCAATCATGTGTGTGGTGTGTAAAACGTTCATCTTTGTAGACAAATAAGTTATACATGTACCATATCTGAGTGTTCATTATACTATATATAGGTGTGAACAAAGAAGGATACACACAACGACAAAAGTGATGACACTGTCAACACAAGTACCACATTGTTAAAACAAAGCGTCAACACGGACGGATGATATTTATCACAGCGTCAACACGGAAGGATGATGGATACCACAGCGTCAACAC